CTAATATTAATTGTTAGATTTTCAACCTCTACACCCTCTTCACATAAAATTTTTATACGAGTGTCAGTTCTATTTTTTCATTGCATGGATGCAACATAAATAAGTTTCTCAAGAATCCAGTGATGGATGCGTCTTCTCACAAATGATCTAGTATGATTCGTATCGATGCGAGATTTCAAAAATTAATATTTAGAACCAATGAAAATGATAATGACAACTATTATTGGAACTTTGGAAGTTAGATTAGCGGGAATTCTTATTTATTTGAACAATTTTTGTACCAAACCAAATAATTTGAACAATTAAAATTATTTTTAGAATTTAAAAACAACAACAACTCCCAATTATTTTTTAAAAAATAAAAAATAAATTGCTATTTCTTTTATTACAAGTTTCTTCATTTGATTTTTTTTTTAAAATTGAAATTTCTTAATAAGTACATCAGAGGTGATAACGCTTATATGTCAGCACCATAAAAAAAATTAAAACAATTAAAATTATTTTTAAAATGATTTTAAATGGTCCTAAAAATCGAGAATAACTATAAATCTGTTATGAAACTATATAAATTTAAAAGAAGAAGAAAGTAGGGAGAAGAGAAAAGACTTCTTATTTCTCTTGAAGTATATTCATGATTCATAGATCTTCTTTACAAAGAAGAAAAATCCTTTATTCATCGGAAAAACTTAATTTTTTCCCCAAGTAGGGTTGCTAACCATATCCTAATCCACATAATTAGGCATTTACTATAACACAAATATGTTTATAACACTCCCCCTTGAATGTCAGTAGATTATGTACCTCGTTAAAACCTTACTAATAAAATTCCGTAGGAAAAAAATCTAGAAGGAAAAATAGTACATATATTTAGTAATACGCATTATGGATGCCTCATTAAAAACCTTACAAGGAAAATCCAGTGGGACAAAACCTTGTGAGGAAAAAAGAGTACATCGTGTATTAACTTCCCCTAATGACAACATCAAATCAGAGACTAGAATGTTCGTTTTTCAAGCTTGTGCATCATCTTCTTGAAAGTTGTAGTTGGTAGAGACTATGTGAATAGATCAGCCACATTGTCACTTGAACGAATCTGTTGTGCATTTATATCACCGTTATTTTGAAGTTCATGTGTATTGAAAAACTTTGGTGAAATGTCTTTGTTCTAAGTTCCCTTAATGAATTCTCCCTTAAATTGTGTTATGCATGTTGCATTATCTTCATATAAAGTGGTGGGTACTTTATCCCATTCCAAACCACATTTCTCTCGAATGAGATGTATCATAGACTTAACCACACACAATCTCTACTTGCTTCATGAATAACTATTATTTCAGCATAATTAGATGAAGTGGCTACGATGAACTTCTTTGTAGATCTCCAAGATATGACAGTCCCTCCACATATAAACACATAGCCTGTTTGGGATCGAGCTTTATGTGAATTAGATAAATATCTTGCATCAGCATAACCAACAAGATTTGGGTTACAATTATTAGAATAACATAAGTCCATATCAATTGTGCCTTTAAGATATTGCAAAATGTGTTTGATCCATTCCAATGTCTCCTAGTAGGAGCAGAACTATACCTTGCTAACAAGTTAACAACAAAAGCTATATCAGGTCTTGTAGTATTACCAAGATATATTAGTTCACCAATTGCATTAAGATATGGTACTGCAGAACCAAGAATTTCTTCATCCTTTTCTTGAGATCGGAATGGATCCTTATTCACATCAAGTGAACGAACAACCATCGGAGTACTTAATGAATGTGCTTCATCCATATAGAATCTTTTCAACACTTTTTCTGTGTAGACTGATTAATGAAGAAAAATACCATTTATCAAATGTTCAATTTGTAAACCAAGACATAATTTTGTCCTTTCCAGATCTTTCATCTCAAATTCGTCCTTTAAATAATCAATCGTCTTTTGAAGCTCTATTGGAGTTCCAATAAGATTTATGTCATCAACATAAACACCAAGTACAACAAATTCCAATATTATTTTCTTTATAAAGAAATATGGACAAATTGCATCATTTGTATAACCTTTCTTAATTAAATACTCACTAAGACGGTTATACCACATGCGCCCAGATTGCTTCAAATCATATAATGATCTTCGCAATTTAATTGAATACATTTCTCGAGATTTTGAATTACATGATTTAGGCATCGCAAATCCTTCAGGAATTTTCATGTATATCTTAATATAAAGTGATCCATAAAGGTATGTTGTAACCACATCCATCTAATGCATTTCATATTGCTCATGGTTTGTGAAACAAATGAGATAACACAATGTTATTGCATGCATAACGGGTGAGTAGGTCTCTTCATAATCGACGTCAGGCCTTTGAGAAAATTCTTGTGCTACAAGGCGTGCTTTATACCTTTGTATTTTATTTTTCTCATTTCTTTTTCGCACAAAAATCCATTTGTAACATACAGGTTTAATACCATCAGCTGTTTGAACTATAGGTCCAAAAACTTCACGTTTGACAAGTGAATTCAACTCTGATTAAATTGTTTCTTGCCATTTTGGCCAATCATTTCGTAGTCGACATTCTATAACAAAATGAGGTTCATGATCCTCATTATCTTGCATGATATTTGTTGCAACATTATATGCAAAGACATAATCAACCACTATTTCTGATCGATTCATATTAGTTTCAGCATCGCTTAAATTTATGGATAGTTCATTATTTTTTTAAGTTTCAAGTTCATTTATTCTTTCATGAATATCAGACTTATTCAAATTTTGAACTTCCATATGAGATTCTTTCATAGTGTCATATTGACATTTAATCTTTTTTTTCCGAGCATTTTGATCATTAGAACCCAATGATCTACCTTGCTTTAGGTGTGCTTTTGACTCATTAGCTATGAAATTAGTGGATGGTCCTTTAGGGACATCAATTCGAATTGAGATATTTTCTACAAGAATAAGTGATTAACTAATCATTTTGAAATCTGTAAATGCGTCTGGCATTTGATTTGCACTTTTCTGCAGATTAATAATATTTTGTACTTCTTGTTCCCAAGTAGAAGAATATGGATCAAGATGTGAAAATGATAAATTTTCCCACAAAATTTCTCATTTTATTTCACTATTTTCTCCCCGTAATTTTTGGACAACTGTCTCATCAAACCGACAATCTGCAAATCTAGCAGTAAACATGTCTCCAGTCAATGATTCAAGATAGCGAATAATGGAGGGTGATTCAAACCCAACATAGATTCCTAACCTTCTTTGAGGGCCCATCTTAGTGCGGTTTGGTGATGCCACAGACACATGTACAACACATTTAAAGATTCTTAGATGGTATATATTAGGTTATTGACTCATAACCAATTGTAGTGGAGAAACCTTATGATAACTTGTTGGTCTGATATGTATAAGTGTTACAGCATGTCAAATTGCATGTCCCCACAGAGAAGTAGGCAACTTAGTTTTCATAAGCAATGGTCTTGCTATTAAATGCAAACGTTTAATTAATGACTCAGCGAGACCATTCTGAGTATGAACATAAGCAATGTAGTATTCAACTTTTATCCCAATTGCTAAACAATAATGATTAAATGATTGGGATGAAATCTCTGCAGCATTATCACGACGAATGGACTTAATCTGAATATCAGAAAAGTGTGCCCGTAACCTTATTATTTGTGCCAATAATTTTACAAATGCCAAGTTACGAGATGACAATAGGCACACATGAGACCATCTAGAAGAAGCATCTATTAAAATAATAAAATATCTAAATGACCCACTAGGTGGGTGAATAGGTCCACAATTATCCCCATGTATACGTTCCATGAACGCAGGGGACTCAATCTAAACTATCGTTGGTGATGGTCTCACAATTAACTTGCCTTGATAACAAGCAGTACAAAAAATTCACCATTTAAAAGAACTTCTAGGTATATAAATGGATGCTCATTCAAATTTTCTATAATTTGTCTCATAATTATTGACCCATGATGTCCTAGACAATCATGTCAAAGTACAAGTGGATTGGAATCAGTAAACTTCTTATTTACCATAAAATGTACCTCAATTGCACTAATTTTTGTTCAATACAAGTCAAAAGATAAAGTAGGAAATTTTTCTATAACACATGTCTGCCTAGAGAAAATTCTTGATAGACCAAGATATTCAAGATTTATTTCATCCATTGATTGCACATGATAACCATTTTCATGGATATCTTTAAAACTCAACAAGTTCCTCTTAGATTTTGGAGAAAACATATCATTATTAATGATGAGTTTGATTCCTTGGGTAAAATTACAATGTTTCTTCCAAAACCCTCAATAATATTATTACTACCAAAAATTATAGTAACATTTATTTTACCCATACTTAAATGAGAAAAATATTTTTTATTTTTTGAATATCGTATGTTGTACCAAAATCAGTCAAACAAATATCTTCATATTTTGATAATATGTTCTTAAAATTATCCATATCTTCACATCAAATGACATACATAAAATAAATATATATTAAATATTAGTGTTGTCAAAAGGGTACAATACATTAAAAAAAATTAATAATTAAATATTAAAAATTGAGCATTAATTTATTGTTTCCTCTAAGTCAAAAACGAGTTGTTAGGAAAATAAAATAAAATCATTATTTAATGCTAGTTAATAACAGACTGTATTTTTTTAACATTAGATCAAATTAAAGACCTAATATAATACAAACACATGATAAATGCTAGTTAATATCAAAATTTATGTTTTAAACATTAGATCAAGTTAAAGACCTAATATAATACAAATACGTGATGAAGTTTAGTATTTGACTAACTCTATTATATTATAATCATATTAATGAATCAATGAAAAATATATATTATTTAATTAAGAATTAAGGAACAAGCTAATGAACTATAAAAATATGACTAAACTAATTTAAAATACTAATACTCATGCAAACAACTATCATTACATGAAATTATTAATAAATACTATCAAAAAAATATCATTCATCCATGTTCACAGAACCATCACCAATTAATTGATCTCTCTTTCCTTCAGGATGTGCGAAAAAATCTGCTACAGCCAAGCGCGTGATGTCAACTTGATTTTCAGAGATAAAATTTGCGTCAGGAATTTTCTCTTTCTTCTTTAGTGATTCTTGATAAAACTCAATCAAGTGTTTAGGAGTACGACAATCACGTCTTCCACCACATTGAAAATAGTTTTCCCTAGTTGCTTTCTGTTTCTCATCCTTTCTTTTTTCCTTTTTATTTGATGTATGATGAATACCAGGAATAGAATTACGTTCTTGACCATAATCATGACCACGAACACGTCCACGTCCACGACCACGATCACGATTAGAACCACGACATATTCCACGCCTAGCATGGTGAGTGTACACCTTATTCACTTCAGGAAGTGATTCAGATCTAGTAGGTCAATTTTAATGATTTTTCAATAATAAATCATTATTTCGCTCGGCCACAAGAAGATGAGAAATCAGTTCAGAATACTTTTTGAAACCTTTCTCTCGATATTGTTACTGCAAGACCACATTCGAGGCATGAAAAGTGGAGAACGTCTTTTCCATCATATCAATCTCACTAACTATTTCTCCGCGTAATTTGAATTGAGAAGTGATTCTGAATATGACAGAATTATACTCATGTATAGACTTGAAGTGTTGTTGCTTAGATGCATCCAATCATATCGTGTCTTTGTATGTAGGACCATCTTCAAGTGGTCAAATCTTTCTTTTAGGTTTTTCCACAAAAGAAGTGGATTCTTAACTGTCAGATATTCAATTTTCAGAATCTCATCAAGATGATGACGCAAGAATATCATTGCTCGTGCACAATTCTAATTTGATGTCTTATTTTCTTCTTTTAAAATGTCTCCAAGACCCATAGCATCAAGGTGGATTTCAGCATGTAACACACATGAGAGGTAGTTCCTGCCCGAACTTTGAAGGGCAGTGAACTCTAATTTTGTAAGATTGACCATTAAAATTAAAAACAAAAGAATAAATAATACCTTTATTAATTCTTTAAATCTAACCTTCGCTTTTAGAAAATTAGAGTCTCGTGCTGATAACGTGTTATAAAACTAAAGAATAAGAAGAATAAACTAGAGAGAAAAGAAGAGAAGACTTGTTATTTCTCTCGAAGTATATTCAGGATTCATAGATTTTCTTTACAATGAAGGGAAAAATCCTTTATTTATAGGGAAAACTTAACTTTGTCCCCAAGTAGAATTCCAAATTTTATCCTAAAAAAACTACACATAATTAGACATTCACTATAACACAAATATGTTTATAACAAAATCTATATTTTTATTATTATAATTTTAAAAGTAGAAGAAATATTGGAGTTCTAAATATTTTTAAAAAGGTTGAAAATTTTAGTTTTAGGATAAATACTTAAAGATAATGCTGCAAAAATTTAGGAATATCAAATTAATAATTTTTTCTTACGAAATACAATTTATTTAAAAAAAATAAATTGTTAAACAAATATAATATATTAATATAATTATAACAATACAATTTGGATAATAATATATTTAATTGCAATCAATTAGTTTCCACTAAAACTGTTTTCCAATTTGCATTTTAAATGGATAAATATAGACGCCGAAAAAGAGTAATATAATCACGTTTATTTTTCCTTTTAATTAAAATAAATATATTTAATTGCAAATCAGTTAGTTTCCATTAAAACTGTTTTCTAATTTGAATTTTAAAATGAATTAAATTTAAAAATATACAATTCTATTATGTATGTAATAGAATTAAATAATTTATACTATAATTTTATTATATTCATGTTAAAGTCATGTTTATGATTAATTTTTTGTATATCTCTATATTACACTATAAATGAGGCATAAGGGTTCATATAGTATACACTCGAAGATTGAATGAACACTTGAAAGAAAGAAAGTTATTTCATATTGTTCCTCTTGTCCTATATTTTTCTTGTCTTCATCTTTATATATTTTTTTTCCTTTCAGTTTTAGAGCTCGTTATCAGTACAAGTTGCTCATTCTCCGTCAAAAATCAATGATAGGTGACTTTTATCAATTATCATAGTAATTTTTTTGATTGCACTCTATACTTCATATCCTATAAATTATTTGTACTAACAAAACTTGTTTAGTAGTTATTCTAAAATGATTAGTAAATTATAATAATCTTCATAACAATGTTAAGAGGGACTATTAAAATGTTTGAATTTATTTTAACTTGGGAATTTTTTATGATTTCAACATATTGTTCTAATTAATTGATTTTGTTCATTTTACTTGTATATTAAGTCAAGTTCAAATTATATTTATGATTTTCGATAATTTTATTTTTGGTAATGCATTTGGTTTATTAAGGCATTGGTTGAGGGTAAGAAGATAAATTCAGGTTTCACCGCACCAAGTGGATAGCCTATCGAGTTAAAGTCTTGGTGCACCATGATAATAAGAAGTTGGGTATATGTCCCATTGATTTATGATCAAAGGCATTTTTATATGGATAAGTCATTGGCTCTAAGTCCTAATGCACTATAATTATGATATGATGATGACTAACATAAAGTTTTATACTTTTGACTGAAAGTCATGAAATTTACCCTATTAATTTGCTCTATCCTTTTATGTGAATATGGTAGCAATATATTAATATGTCTGAAAAATGACATGGGTATGATAAAATGCTAATGGTCATCATTCTGGTAATGAAAAAGAAGAACATTATGAATACATTGTTTCTTAAGATGGTTCTTCAAATGTTAAGGTTATTATTAAAGATATTTTTTATCCATCAAAGTGGTATGAGAAGTTGGACACTTATTGTAGGTGCAACCCAATTTATAAAGTTTTTAAATCTTGCATCAAAATAAATGAATACAAAGTGATAGTACAATTGGTACATTTGACCTCTTAAAGTGATGTTGAGGTGAGTCACATAATATCAAAACATGACAATGAATTTCTAATAAAAACTTATGGAACATGTACAAATGGTTCTGATCTATTTCTTGAAGAAAATGTGACTTGTGTTTGTATGGATAAGAACATATTCATGTATTGTTGGATGAATGTCACATCTCACCTCCACGGGAGGTTTGAGAGATTGAAAGAAAATATTTTGACATAAATGGTCATTTTGGTCATATATATGCTTTGAGTACTACACAAATATTGTGGTAGGTTTTATAATGAACTATTGGAGAACAAAAGATAGAAAAAAATCTTTTTTTGTAAAGGTTGTGACCATGACCAAAATAAATGTTATTGTGCGGCAACACAAATTTTTCATTGGTTATCAAGAAATAAGTCTTGAATGTAATAATTTTAACCATGACAATAATGATAATTCTCTTTGAAGAAGATGGTCAACATAAGGAAGGAGTTGTGAAAATTATGGTAGTACACAAAATTAATTTAATAGTTTTGAAAGGGCTAATTTGTTACTATCTGGAGAATGAAATTATTCATAATATTGAAGTTGTTAGTAAGTCTCTAAAGAAACTTTTAAGTTTCGGACAAATTGAAAACGAATATTATATTGAGACTAGGGAAAATGCATAAGTACCCCCTCAACTTATGCAAGAAATCTGAGAGACACACTTATGGACATCTAAGGGGGAGTGTTATAAAATATTATAGTGTGGATGTCCACTACAGCAATAAGTTACTCACCTATTATCTCCACTACTTTTCTCATTATGAAGATGACCATAACCTCCACCTTTATAACTATTATTCTTGTAACCTTTCACTTTCATAATCTCCCCATTATATTCATGTTAATGTTATGTTTATGACTAACTTTTTGTATGTCTCTATGTTGCACTATGAATGAAGATTGGGTGAATACTTTAAAGATAGAAAGTTATCTCATATTATTCCTCTTTTGTTATATTGTTCTTGTCTTCATCTTTATGTTATTCTTTTGTTCTTAAGTTTTATAACATACTACTAATTTTTTACTATTAATTATTGCTATTTCTAGAAGTTTGAAAAAAATAGTTATGATTATATTTTTACTGTTATAAAAAATTATTTAAATTTTAATAAAATGAAAATTGAATAAATAAATATTGTTTTTCAGAATTGATAAAAGAAATAAATAAACATAATACTTTATCATTAAAAATGAGAAAAATTGTATGAAATATCAAACTATTAATTCAAATTAAATGCTTTACCCATAGTTTATTTTTGTAATTCGCAGCAAACATCTCTTTTTTTTTCCATCTGATTTGGTATATAATTAGCCATTTTCGGTATACAGTTCGTCATATTATACAGTTTGGTATAAAATGTATAAAATGCGTTCATATTTGTATAAAGCGAGAGAAAAATGCATATATACATATACAAATACATATATTTCCGTCCTATACAATTATAATTATGCAAATTCAGATTTTATTGTACAAATTACCGTGTATAAATGAATTTATACAAAACTAAACAATTGTATAAAATTGAATCTCTGTAGCAAATTATATAAATCAAAAGCTCCATAGCAAACATAAAATTTGTTATGGAGCGCAATTATGCAAACTATAGCTATAATATACAAATATAATTTTTATGTTTGTTATGTGAAAGTTGCTCTTAAAAATACAAATTAGCATTTATCCTTTAAATAATATTAATAATTTAGAATATTAATTTTTTCAATGATTTTCTAGAAGCTTGAAAAAATAGTTATCATTATTTGCTTTTTATCGTCATAAAATTATTTAAATCCAAATAAAATGAAAAATTGAATAAATAATACTATTTTTCAGAACTGATAAAATAATAAATAAACATAACACTTTATCATTAATATAAAAATTAGAACTAATCCTTTAAAATACATTAAGTTATTCATTATGTTTTGAATGATAAAGAGTATTATTTTCTGTCACAAGAAATATAACATTCAGTTTCCTCAGTTTAAACATTCAATTTTTTAAATTAATATTTTTTGTTTAATTTAAATCATAAAAGTTATGTAGGTGGTCATATCTTTAGGTGTGGCCTTTTTGTATGAGTTAATTAATAGATAAAAATATAAAGCATGTGAGTTGTGTAATGTTATTGTTGTTTTTGTTAATGATGTTCCTATTTAGATATAGATCATCATTATTAATTATTATTTTTAAAAGTAGTCGATTTCTAATTAGTACAAAGCTTCATTTTTCTTCACTTATTTAACTTTTAATACATTCTAGAATATGCATAATTTTATAATATAATACAATATTTTATTGGTTATTAGAATTCTTTTCTATTTATATTTTATATTTTAATATTTAGTTAAATTAAATTTGTCTTATTTGGCAGGATTGAACTAGTAAAAATATTTTAAAGAAGTTGCGATCTGATTTACAAATTATATTTTAGTTTAGAGTAGAGACTATTTTTTAAAATTAGGATCAAATTGAGCTATGAATTTGAAGTTTATTTAATTAGTACAAATATCAATTCAACACATATCACATATATTATTTATTTTTCTTTTAATTTTTTTAATGACAAGAAAAATAAACATTCGCTATTTTTTTGGATGCACACACGGTAAAATCTCGCTCCTATTTATCTTTTACTATACTAGGAGAAGGAGAAGTCGTTCTAATAATGTTTGGTATCTTTAAACATATTCTCAATGTATATAAATTTGGGTAAAAATATTAATCGCATTAACCATTTATTTAAATTCAAAACATTATATGTGTGCAACACATAAAGCACTTTTCCAATGAAAAAAAAGCTTCATAAACATAAATATATTGTAACATTAAAAATGTAGTTGATCGATAATCATTAAAATAATATTTTAACAAAAAGTAACATGCTAAATCTTTGAGTTAATATGATCATATAAATTTTGAAACAGATTCGTGAAAATGACATCTACAATTATTTGAGTTTGAATTGAAGCCCTAATTAAATTCAAGATGAGCCGCTTATTTAGTAGCAAATTTTCAATAGGATATCTTTCAAGCTTGAATTCGAAATTTATGATTAAAGATTAAAAAATAGTACATTCCGAATTAATTCACACACTTTTTTATATAGTTTTTGAATATTTATAATTTGTTTTGAATATTAAGACTTTAATATTATTTTAAAAAAAATTATTTATTAAGTATCATCACATAATTGAGACGAACGAAACAATTAAGATGAATATAGTCAGAATTTTAAGTTTATCGAAAATTTTTATTTAGACACTTGAATTATAATATGTTTTGATTGAGAACTTGAATGTATGATAATGTACTTCTATAGACATTTTCGTCTCAAATTTTTAGCAACACTCATTGACAGTTATTGCATTAGTAATGTGGCGGGCTTATTAATTGGATGAGTTTAATTAGTAATGAGTGAGTAGTGGATTAATTTATAAATTATATTAATACGTTAAATTATAAATAGTTGAGCGTGACGTATTTAAAAAAATATTTAAAATAGTTTAAATTTAAAACCTAAGTGGTCAATTTTGAACTCAAAGATGGATGACACAGATATTTTGGAGTCAATAAGTGGATAAAAATGATATTCTTGAGCCAATACGTGGATGAATGCTAGTTTTGTACCATTTTTCTAATACTTTAAAATTATTTTATGGCCTTTTTTCGTATAAATTTTTATAATGTATTACTATAAATATTTAAACAATATATTAACAAGTAAAGAAATTTCATAGATCTTTTAATTTAATCATTGGGACATTTGTACAGATACGAATACTAGTACATAATAATTCTTAAAATAATCCACTATGTCAATGTTCATTTCAAATTTGATTTAAATTCGAAAGTCACTAGGCTCTCAATCATCATCCAAATTTTAATATCTCATAAATTTAACACAATCAATCATATAAGAACTACTTGTCTTACATCACATAAATTCAAGAACTAACTCACCAACAAAGTTCGAAGATTACTTCTACAAGCTATCCCCATGATGATGGTATGTTTACCAAATTAAATTGTCACAGTGAGACTTCATTTTCATCATATAAATGTTTCTTAGGCTGTTGGAAAGGTGTAAATTTATCATGTTAATAAATTACTGGATTTTTTTTTTTTAATTCAAAAGGCAAGGGCAGATGCAAGAAAACATACATACCTGTGAATGATGGAAATAAATTTGAAAAGAAAAATGTTTTATAAAAATTGATTTGAAGATTAATCTTGAAGGGTTTGTCTTCACTGTATGGAGAAGAACACTTTGTTTATTTATCTTGTTTGGAGAATGAGAAAAAAAATGAAGAAAATATCCATAATTTTGCTTAGTGATTAATTAATGAAATGATTTTTAAAAATCAACGTTTAACAACGATCACGGTGGGACTCGAACCCACAATCTCCCGCTCCGGAGGCGAGCGCCTTATCCATTAGGCCACGCGACCAATTGTTGACTACTTTTAAGATATACGTTAGCTAGTAGCATTAATACAAATAAGAAGTCCCTCCCTTCTTCTTTTTAACGTGGCAAAATAATTTGATGGATCACTATACTTTTATGAGTTTGTATTTTGAATCATTTTACTTAACTATTTACCAACTGAAATCTTAAATTCAATGAAACTCAGCATTTTAAACCCCTTTGATCTTGTCTGAAATTTAAACACATGATAAAAGGAAAAATTACATAAACAAAGACCTTTTATTTTATAATTACCAATTTTAAGTACACTTTTTATTTATTACTATTTTTGTCAACTTTTAGCTATATTAACTTAAAACAATTTAAAACCCATTTATTCCTTTTTTATACAAATTTTAAACAAAGTAAAACATATCGCTCTTTTTTTTTCTTTCTCCTTCTCCTCGTCAAAAATTAAGGTTTCTGTTTGCTTTTTTTCTCCATTTTTTTGAA